TCCGGTCGCTGATGATGCTACGAGCGTCTTGGTTCGGCCCAAGCCGCTCATGTATAGGTGGTCGGTGCAGAGCGGTCGCTAAGTCAAGACGAGACGTAGATGTGGCCTCCTGTGCCGCGCTCGGCGACTGTAGTGGTGAGCGGGTGGAGCAATTCGTCTGTTACATCCCCACTCCCTTGGTGGGAAGAGAGGCCGCGAGTCGGTGTCACGATGCAGAGCTCTCCGCCTGTTGAACGGCGGCAGTCTCCACCAATGCACAGAGGTTCCAGTGGATCGCTTGTTCCTGGGGGTCATTCGGCTCGAGAAGGCCGCGTAGAAGCATTGCTGCAGCGTGGTGCACCGAGCGCCTGTGGGGCCGTGGCGCGCCTGCTCGTGCACCCACGGTGACGGCATCGGCTTTTGCTCGCGCGCGCGGGGGGGGGGGCTGTGACTAGCCTGTTTTCGTGCCTGTGTGGCAGGGCGGCAGCACCCGCCTGCACACCCGTAGCGGCGACGACGGTGCCTGCTCGTGCGCCTGTAGTCTTTTTTGACAAAATGCATTGGCAAAGGGCTGCTTCGTTGAGCCTAGTCATCATGCCACATTAGCACGAGAAGCCAACGTGGAGAGCTATGGACCTAAGTGATACGTTATACAAAGTTTATGGACCCAAAAAACCACTTTGAAAGTTGATGGACCTAACTGAAACATCACCACAAGTTAATAGATCTCTGGTGCATTTAACTCTATAATATATGTGGAATTAGCTAATCGAGTATTCCCTCCAAACTAAAAAAAACCTTTGGAGCATCTCCGATTATATCTGTTTCTCTTACTATGGGGTAGTACGTACTTCCTCCGTTCCAAATTATAAGTCGTTTTGATTTTTTTGTTACATCCATTTTGTTATGCATCTAGATATAATAATATGTTTGGATACATAGCAAAATGGATGAAATAAAAAAGTCAAAGCGACTTATAATTTAGAACGAAGGAGTACATCTCAGCCACACCTCTTTGGCACTAACATGTCAAGCCCACGTGTCAGTGTCTTTTCAATTATCTTCTATGATGATCATCTATGTCTCATTTTTCTGTGCTTTAGCACGAGCATAGTCAAAGCAACAACTGATGACCTTGTCAAACACTCCCTCCGTTCCAAAATAAATGCACGCCACTCCCTCCGTTCAAAAATAATTGCATGCGATGCTTCTCAAGAAATCAAACTTTGTTAAGTTTGACTATGTATATATAAAATAGTATCAATATTTGTACCTCCAAATAAGTTTATTATGAAAGTGCATTCCACTATCTATAAAATGATGTTTATTACACATCATAAATATTAATACTTTTGTATATGTATTTAGTCAAACTTAAAAAAAACTTCTCCTCATCTCTTCGATAAGCAAGAAGTACAATTACTTTGGAACCGAGGTAGCACGACGTTGCAGGGGTGCTTCTCCCAAAGATTTCATTGGAGGATGCAGCACTCTGTCTAAGGATCTCACCGCAGTTGGCCGTCCATGAGGAGGAGGTAAAGCAGATTTTAGGATTTTTAATTATATTATTTATCTATATAAAAATATTTAGATAAATTTTTGCAATTTATTTTTAGAATTTTAGTATTTTTTGAAAAGAAATATTTCTAGTACAATTTTATCTCTACGAATCTTTGACGTGGCGTTGTCAGCAAAACCACCCAAGAAAAACAAATGATTTTAATAGTTTAAGGGAGTGAGAAAATTTTGGGCTCTTGCATTTTTACCCCTATTTTGTATCGAAATTGTGATTTTGTCTCTGTTTTCTGACTTTGTAAATTTACCCCTGTGATTTCAAAACGAAGCATCAGTTTGCCCCTACTCCGTCATCCTCCCCTATGTTAAATTTTGTATAAAAAGACATAAATGCCCATGTGATTTTACCCTTGTTTGTTATGCCTATTTGTGATTGTACCCCCGATTTGCAATTAGACTTTTTTATTGTATGCTGATACAAATGATTAAATTTGGCCAAATATATTTTTGGCACAACTAGAAATTATTTCAACTCAGATTTCATATTGAAAAAACATCAAAATTTTGGCAGCAATGGCACCTTAGCTCCAGGGCCTCCCTCTTCACCCCCCTTGTGTGTGAAATGCCTCCCTCTTCACCTTAGCTCCAGCTCCAGGGCACCTTGGCTCTGAGAGATGGACTTGAGCACGCAGCCGTACGTGTACTCGTTGGTGTGGCCCCCACGGCGCGCATCTCCCCGAACGCGTCGGCGGCGGGGCCCGCTGCCTCGCCACGTCCCCGGCAGACGTGTCCGTGCAGGAGCGCGTTCCACGAGTTGGCAGTCGCCCTCGCCTAGTGTTGGTGCATCCCGTCGAGCATCCTACGTGCGTCGTTAGTGGCGCCGAGCGTGAGGTCGACGAGCCTGACGAGGAGGAACTCATTGGTGTCCAGCCCGTGGATGTGGAGGTGCGCATGGATCTAGCGCACGTGCGGGAGGGAGCATGCGGCTATCTACGCACCTTGACGCCAATCCCGTGCCTAGAAGAACAAGAGGCGGGCGCCCCTGAGCCGCACCCAGAAGAAGAATGGTGGGCGGCAGGAGCCGCCAGGAGTCGCGTCCGGGCACCGTGGACACCCACCGCCAGGCACCGCCGCTGCCCGCTCTCGATGCCGCGCCGCCTGCTCTGAGACGCCGTGCCGCCCGCCCCCGCGCACTATGCCCGAGCCCGCTCCACGCCGCCGCACTGCCACCAGGCACCACATCGCCCTACACCACACGAGCCTGCATCGCACCGCCGCCCGCTCCTGGTGGCGCGTGTTTGGACGAGTCGAGGAAGAACCAGAAAGAGATAAGGGGCACTGCGGTCATTTGGCTTTTTCTTTTCAGGTTTCAAATTTTTTTAATCCATCTATTGCCTGGGTATTTGATGGACATCCAAAAGAGAGGTAGACGGACAGTTCAATTCAAAATAACAAGGGTAAAACACACAAAGTTGAAAAAACAGGGGGCAAAATCACAATTGAAGGACTGGACAAAGGCAAGAACATAATTTTCCCAAAAAAATATAGTTTAAAAAAATCGAACGAACGTCGTAATTGAGGGAGGTAAAATAGTTTTTTTCTCTATTGAAACTAAACAAAGATATTTGTAGACCGACCACGTAATTGGAATCGCCCCTGGAGCTTCTCTATCTGATTCCCCTCGAAGAGACAGGCCGCCATCTCACGGACAAAAGGGACCCACACTACCGCTTCCATTTGTTCCGTCCGCGCCCTTCGCTGCCCCAAATGGAGCCACGTGCTCCTCTCTTCCTCTTCTCTCTTCTCTAGCGCCTTCCCGTTCCCCACTTCTTGCTCCCTTATCGCCTGGGATTTTTAACTTTTTGCCATCCTTACCGATGGCACTCCTCCGTTTGTCATCTTTATACACGCTCCTATACATTTATCATCGCAAACATTAACCCTCCTACGTTTTTGCCATTTTTGCTGAGGTGGCACGCCAGCATGACGCGTGGGCTCCTACAAAGCATGTGAAATGACCTATGTACCCCTGCTGCTTCTCTCCCTCCAATCGCTGACGCGTGGGCTCCACATGTCAGCTTCGTCTTCAACCCCCCGCCATCACCCGCTCAGCATCGACGGCGCCACGTTCAGCGCCATCCCGTCCTCGACGGCGGCCCCACCGGGCACCGCGCAGCTGGCCACGTCCGTCTCCATCATCAGGCGGTGTCGTGGTGGACAAGTCACCGCTGCTGCGTCGTCGAACGATGGGCAGGATGACGGGTGGGTGGTGTGCAGGGTGTTCAAGAAGCACCACCATAGGGAGTCATCAGGCGGAGGCGGGGGCGGGGGCAGCAAGCACGGCAGTAACAACGAGCATGGGCACGGCGGCGGTAAGGTGCGCGGCCGCTATCTGCGGCGGCAGCAGCAGCGGCAGCCGACCAAAGACCAAAGACCATGGTGGGCTGCGATACTCCTCCGATGATGACGCTACCGGACCAGATCCTGCGCATACATGGGCGAGCCTCGCAGCAAAGAACACGAGTTTCTTTGTCGCCGTTCTTTGCCACCGCCGGGCAAAGCGGCGTCCGTGTACCTCGCCCATCGAGACCGTCTTTGGCGGGCGGCGCGTGTTCATGAAGCCGCCCTCTTGAGAGCTCGTCCACGGGCGCAGCAATCTTGCAGACGACGCCGCCGCAAAGACGCTCGAACAGTAACGCCGCCGCGCGGCGGCGGTGGTCGTCGTCGACGACCTCCTCGGCCTCCACCACGCCGATAGGATCGGGATCACGGACTGGGCCATGATGGACCGGCGGGTGGCGTCGCACCTGAACGGGCAGGCGCCCGACGACGTCGTGCCCGCCGCGGACCACCTTGGCAGCTACTTCGACGATGCCACCGGCGTGGATGACGCCAACCTCGCCTTCTACTCCGCCGCCGCCAACCGGCTGCTCGGCCTCGCCGCCGGCTCCAACGGCGCTGTCACCGACGACGACCTGTGGAACTTGACGTAGTCCTCGGCTTCGGCAGCGGCGGCGACCGCCACGTCGACGACACCGCCTGATGATGGAGACGGACGTGGCCAGCTGCGCGGTGCCCAATGGGGCCGCCGTCTAGGACGGGATGGCGTTGTACGTGCCGCCGCCGATGCTTAGTGGGTGATGGCAGGGGTTGAAGACGAAGCTGACATGTGGGGCCCACGCGTCAGCGATCGGAGGGAGAGAAGCAGCAGGGGTATATAGGCCATTTCACATGCTTTGTAGGCCTTCTTAGGCTCCCTGTCATGCTGGCTTGTTCATCCGGTGTGTCACTTGAGCAAAAATAACAAAAACATAGGAGGGTTAGTGTTTAGGACGATAAATATACAGAGGCGCATATAAAGATGACGAATGGAGAGTGCTTAAGATGGCAAAAGGGTTAAAAATCCCTTATCGCCTCCGCGCTCTAATGGCCTTACACCCCGCCACGCAGTAAACGAAACGACGGGCCCACTCCCCGACGGCTGACGCCCTCCCACGCCCCATTCCATGAGGCAGCCGCACCTCTCGCCGCAGCTCTCCCCCTCCCCGGTCCTCTCCTTCCACTTCTCGCCGCCGGCGACGGGGGCCTCGCCCTGGCGGCGGCGGTTGCACCGGGGGCGGGCCTTCCAACCGCCGCTCTCCTCGCTGCGGGAGCCCAACAAGGCCACGCTCCGCAAGGCGTCGCCCAACGTCCCCTTCCGCCTTGGCGGTGGCGGTGGAGGGAGCGGCAGCCCCAAGGACCGCCGCCCCGCCGCCGACGACAAGGAGGAGGAGGCCGAGGGCGATGGCGGCGCTGGGGCACTCACAGGGACGCTGATCGCAGGAGCGCTACTGGTTGGTTTCGTAGGGGGGTTTGGGGCGGCCGGATACGTGTACAAGGACCAGGTCAACTCCTTCCTCACGCAGTTCTCAGGGTTCATTGACGGTAATGGATTACTCGAGCTTTGCTCGTCAGCTCGTATTTAGTTATTTGCTTATGCTTGTTTGAGCTTCCCTGATGATGGGATACCAGTGGTTTGGATTTGGATCAAAGCCACTGGACTAAGGCTTGCTTGGTGAGATGATAAGACTGCATGTTTTTATTGCCAGTTTCAAATAAATGCAAGTCTTAATTAGCTGGGTCGTGAATTGCTGTGGCAATTAGCTGAGTAGTTAATAGCATTACCATCAACCTTTACCCCTGTATCGGATCCTACTATAAAGTCGTTGCACTCTCTCTCATTTCAGTCATTTTGTGCACTGCCGCTGCGCAATAATATCTAACTGTGTTATAAATGGAAAAATAAGAACTGAACAGTTGCATGTCTTCGCTGCTCCTTGTTTGATTGTCATGGAATTTTTGTTCATATCCCTTAGTTGGATTTTTTAGCTAAACTGTTGTGTTGTCTTACATGGGCAGGCTATGGTCCAGCCGGATATGCTCTCTTCGTACTTGTATATGCAGGGTTGGAGGTATGCCCTCAATTTAGCAGCCCTCATTCTTGGTGGTGTTTGTTATAATGGCTTTTTTGGTTTCCATTGCAATAGCTGGTCAACTACAGATAGTGATATAAAGTTGAAAAGGTTTTGCCTCATGCATATCTTGGGTTGGGGCTTTAGCTTATGAATATTAATAATATTATTTTTCCTTCGTTTCAGGTTCTCGCAATTCCTGCAATACCTTTAACCATGTCAGCTGGTCTATTATTTGGTAGTGTGACCGGTACAATTATTGTTTCAGTCGGTGGAACAGTAAGTACTTCACATCAGTAGCACTTGTTTTGATAATTCTGCGCAAACTTGCATTTACTCACTGAAATTTACTGCCTCTGTAGCTAGCTGCAGCGGTGGCCTTCCTTATTGCTAGATACTTTGCCAGAGAGAGAATTCTTAAATTGGTTGAAGGAAATAAGAAGTTTCTGGCAATTGATAAGGCAATAGGTGAAAATGGATTTAAGGTTGTTACTTTGCTTCGTTTGAGTCCCCTGTTACCTTTCTCCCTTGGGAACTATCTATATGGCCTGACTTCAGTGAAGTTCTTGCCATATGTCTTGGGCAGGTTAGTTTCTACTCTCCTTGCTCCGATTGTGGCATTATCTGTGGATATCAGTGAATGTAATTTGTAATTCTAAGCAAGCTGCATTTAGTGATAAATTGTCTGTTGTTAATGTCATAGTTTCTTCTGCATGTTTCATGTGATGCAGTATGTTAATGCTTTTCTGGAAGAGTTGTAATTTAAGTGACTAAAGGAATAGAATATATGACTTATGCGAGTATCACTTTCTTGTTAACTATGCTTGGAACTTTAATTTTGTGAGGGATGATGCCAACACTATAGTTGTTTTCTTGAAAAGCCTTGTTTGCTCTGATATCCACTTTTTGTTATTCCCATGCAGTTGGTTGGGAATGCTTCCAGGTTCATGGGCTTACGTCAGTGCTGGTGCATTCGGGCGAGCTATAATTGTGAGTTCTTAAACTGCTGGTATTTTAAGTCCATCTTGAGTAAAAAAAAATGCACTGCCAAAATGGCAAAGGGGATTTGCTGTGTAATAACCACATTTTTGTGCCATCAAGGTTTTCAGCTTCTAATAGCTGCTAGGCAGTGCTATTCCTTGCCATATGGGTAGCTCCTGCTCTCCTATATAGGACTTACTAAAAGTTGTTAACTGTTTCTGTCCCATGTAACTCGGAGTCTCTCATTATGCTGATGGTCTTTCCTTTCTATAAAAGTATCCTGCATGACAATTCTTTAGATGTTCTATCATGCAATAATACTTGAGATGTTCACATCTTTTGCCACTTCAAGACATTGATTTGCAATTTACTTCCTGTTCCTATTACTGTTTCCATCTTTGGCATAGCAGTTCATACATTTCATGAGAATATCATAATCTGGTGTTGATAGTGAAGTATCCACATAGCTCTGTTGACTCTTAATATAATGTCATCCTGTCTGTGTGAGGGCTGGTGAGAAAATGCAACTGGAACTGGCAAAGTAATATCTATCGATTTTTCCTATTTGCATAGCAGCACAGCTTTTGTATGACTTGAAAAAAAAATGTATGACTAGCTCGAATAATGAAATTGCTTTCTTGTTTTGACAGCAAGATGAGTCGGAAATTGGTTTGGGAGGAAATGGACAGCTATGGACACTGGGTGTTGGGTTATTGTTTACGGCCATTGCTGCCACTTATGTAACAAGGCTCACAAAGGTGAGGACCTATTTTTGCATGGACCACATACCTATATAGGATAAGTGGCAATTCAAGAGGATTCCTGGAAAAAAGCATGATATAACAATATAAGTATATAACATGTTTCTGGTATCCCCCAATAACAAAACTTTGCGAATACTATTTGCATGTGTGGTTAATTTTTTACTCTTGCAATTGCTTCAGGGTTTAGTCAATACTGACTGCTCTCTTGCGTCTGCCTTTTTCAGGATGCTGTAAAGGAGATCGACGACTAGAATGGTAGGATACTCTAGTAGAAAGGGCCCTCTGGATAGTATACTAGCACATTGTACATCACTGGCACCTTTGGACTTTGGTGCAATCAATTCTAATAGAAATTCGGAGCAATTTTCTGAGGGAATCTTCTGTCTTCTTGACGCGGTGTCGATTCTCATTGAACAGAAATTCCTGTTTCTCGATACCACTAATTCGCTGTATGGTGCACATTCATACCAGCTAAGAATCTGCCAAGATCAAAGAGCCGAGAGCCGACTTAGCCGAATCTCCCTACCAGTAATCACCACAAGAGCACTCTCCACCTTTCATGTGGTGGAAGCAGTTCGCATCCCTCAAAATAATCTCTCTACCGTACACCTTGGCGACCATCTTGATCGCCGTGTGACAGTCGCCACACACTCGGAGGTTCTTGAACACGCGGATGGGTGCGGCTGCTGGCACAGCGAGCAGCCCGAAGGCCACGGCGAGTCTCTCGCTGTGGTACGCCAGCCCCCTCTGCCTCCCCTCCGGCGCCTCGTCCTGCAGCGCCCAGTCCGTGTCCGGCACGTACCCCTCGCCCCGGATCCTCTCGGTCATCTCCTCCACTTTGCGGTAGATCTCGGCCGCCCGCGGGTGCCCGCGGTCCTCGACGTGGAACAGGTGCGTGACGCCGTTCACGCCCACCCAGCTGCACCCGGGCTCCTTGGTGACCCCTCTCGCCTTCATCAGCGCGCGGATCCTCGCGACGTCGCCCCATCTCCGTGCTCGGGAGTAGAGGTTGGAGAGCATGACGTACGGCACGGCGTCCGTCGGATCCAGCCTCCACACCATCTCGGCCGCGCGCTCGGCGAGCTCCGCGTTCCGGTGCACCCGGCACGCGCCCAGCAGCGACTTCCACACCGTGGCGTCCAGCTCCGTGGAGCTCCGGTTTAGCAGGTCCATGGCCTCGTCCAGCCTCCCCGCCCGGCCTAGCAAGTCGACCATGCACGCGTAGTGATCCGGTCCGGGAGCGATGCCGTAGTCGGCCACCATGGACCGGAAGTGAGCCCGGCCGGCGTCGACGAGCCCGGCGTGGCTGCACGCGAAGAGCAGACCAATGAAGGTCACGTAGTCCGGCCTGCACCCGGACCGGACCATATCGGCGTAGACCTCGAGCGACCGCCTGCCACGGCCATTCTGCGCGTACCCGACGATGAGTGCCGTCCAAGTGATGGTGCACCGCGCGGGCATCGCGTCGAACACCGCCCGCGCGTCCCGCAGCGCACCGGTCTTGGCGTACATGGACACGAGCGAGTTCCCGACCGAGCGGAACGGCCCGAGCCCGAGTCGGACCGCGGTGGCGTGCACCGACCGGCCCACGTCGAGCATGGTGGAGCCCGCGCACGAGCTGAGGACCGCCGCGACGGCGAACTCGTCGGGCTGGACCCCCGCGGCGACCATGCCGTGGTACGCCCGGACGGCCGCGGCGTGGGCGCCGGCGCGCGCGAGCCCCGTGAGGAGCGAGGTCCAGGTGACGACGTCCCGGCGCGGCATTTCGTCGAACACGGCCCGCGCCGCGGCGGCGGCGGCGCACCCCGCGCGGGGCAGCCTGGCGTAGGCGTCGACGAGCGCGTTGGCGACGTGGAGGTGGAGCGCGAGGCCCGCGTGGAGGAGCAGCGCGTGCAGCGCGGCCACCGCCGCGGGCGGCGGGCCCCGCATGAGCGCCGCGGAGTTGAGGAGCGGCGGGAGGGTGTACTCGTCGGCGCGCAACCCCCGCCCGCGCATCTCGCGGAACAGCGCCAGCGCGCGTGCGTACAGCCCCGCGCGGGCGCACCGGGAGATGGCCGCGTTGTAGGACACCACCCCCTCGCCCGCCGGCAACGCCATCGGATGGCCGCCGTGGGATCGTCAGTTACTACTAGAGTGGAAAACGTGCGTCGAGTACGGCTGTACGGGTACGGCGATGGCGCTTCAAAGTTGCATGCTTCGTACACGTCCTAGCTAGTCGAAGCACATTCTTGGCGTGCGCAGGTCCACGGCGGCGCGACTTGTGCAAACCCATCCAACAGGAGTGCACCATGATGAAGAGGCGACATGGCCATGGCGCAAACCTGCTGGCTGCGGTCAACATCAAGCAGGAGTACTGGGTGTGCACTCCAAAAAGTCCAATCGACTGGTACAATCACAGTACCACACGCGTGGGTGGCAAAAAAACAGCAACGACGTGCGGTGGCACGCCCCGCGTTTGTTTTGCTGCCGGCGGCCTAACCATAGACTCTTGCCGACAAAATCGATCCTCCGCTGACGACTTCTACGAGGCTCTGTTTCGTGCGCATATATTTATCTCAATCTATATATGTTAAAGTGAATTAAAGTATAATTAAATTAAATTTAATTTTATTTCACTCCAATACATATGAATTGAGATAGTACACGTACCTCTAAACAAGGCCTAACGATGGGCAGGTTGATTTTCTTCGCTAACTGAGGCAGACAAACGTGTAAAGCGTACGCTAAGCTTCGGGATGCTGCAGCCTGTCCATGACCACCTCAGTGAAAAAAGTGAGACCATGGATCTGCTTATCGAAGAAATGCACCAAGAACGCCAGAGACAGACAAGGATGACAACAACCAGGCCGCTGGATTTATCACTTGTTTCCTCTCCTTTTAAAAAACTGACATCATTGACATGGCTTCGTTCGCTTCGCTGAAAAAACAAACCGAAGCACTGTTCCGGCTGATTTGTTGTGAGAGAAAAACACTGCTCCGACTAAAAAAATAAACTGAAAAGTACGGATTATAAGACAAGCAAACAGAACCATTGCAACTTGCAGGCACTACAAGAAAAAAAGAAATCTAGGGGTTAAAATTAAGCCCTTGAACCATATTCATTTTAGTTTATGCTGATGCTTATGCTAAAATACTGTGAAAGAAAAATACTATTGATTCGTTAAAAAGTACTGCTAAAATAATGCAGCAGAACGGGACATGATTCGGACATACCATCATTTGATTACGAGAAATCGACGTGCCGTTTTTGGACATCATTCCTCTCGACTCTCGTATTCTTGGCGACAGGAAACAACTGGCAGCCGTCGACGTGGACAGACTCGTGCCTTTCATCCCCTTCGTTAGTTCGTTTCTGGCTTCCAGCGCCAGCACTCCACTCCAAGGGCTTGGTGAACATTATCGCACTACTAGCACGTAAACGCATTGGATTCTCGTTTTGCCAATGATGACTGCCACGATCTGCGAGCTAGCTCGGTCCAAAATCTCGCTCTCACTCGACGTCTGTACACTCTACTCCATCACGGCATCACCCATCAGTATGGGTACCGGTCTACCACAGAAAAACAGCTGCAGACAAATTAAACGAGATGAGGGTGTTAGGTTGATCTCTAATTTCAAACTGGGTTCAATGGTATGGTCTAGTCGAATCTTTGGTCCGCGTCCTGTTCGGGGGCGCCTGGCCCACTATGGCTGGAGGGCCCCTGTCACACTGCGTAATAAATAGAGGTGGGGCGGTGGCTCAAGTCACGAGGTTCGCCTGAGCCGAGCTCCCCACCGACAAACCCTAAACCCGATCTAGACGACGCACAGCCAGTGACGGAAAGCCACCAGCCGCGTCGCCACCGGACTGCGTCACCGCGACAACTGCACTGCGCCGCCACCCGTCTTCCCCGACCGTCGCTGCCCTAGCGCAGACACCGACTCCATGGCGGACGCGAGCGGATCCTCCTCCACTGCGGTGTCAAATTTGACACGTCCATCTTCTATCCCTCTCTTTCTCTAGTTCTACCTACTGTTACTACACTAGTAGATGATCTAGGTTTCATGATTCTATTCAACAGCAAGTACCCGGCTAGATCTATGCTCCTTGTGATCCTATAGGTATAACAATGGTACCAGAGACTCATTTAGGTATAGATCTAGCTTATCAGTTTAGATCCGTTCGGATCTGAGAAAAGAACAGAGGGTTCGATTCGTTTTCGGATTGAAACCATAACCCTAATCGGGAAACGAACCCTAACCCATCGGGGAAGATGAACAGTAACCCTAACCCTAACCGTAACCAAACCCTAATCTCGATTCTAACCCCATCCCCAACCCTAAATCGGATAGATCCGAGAAAAGAAGAAAGGGAAATCAAAGAAAAGAAAAGGGGAAGGGGAAGAGGCCTACCTCGCCGCCGCACCGTGCTGCTGCCTCGTCGGCGCGCGGGCGGGTGCTCAGGCCAAGGGCGCCGCGGCCAGGCCGCTCGACAGCGGCATGCTCACCCACTGGGGAGCGCGTGCGCCGGCGAGAAGGCCGGTGACGGCACCGTCATCGTTGGGACCGAGACAGAGGAGAAGGAGAACAGGTCAGGTTAGATCTAGGGTTTCGAGGGGAGTAGGGCACCGCCGCTAGTCCGCTCGACGGCGGCGCGCTCACCCGCGTGGGGAGCGCGCGCGCCGGCGAGGGGGCCGGCAACGGCGCCAAAGTCGCTTGCGCTCTCGCTCTCGGTTGCTGCTGCTGCTTGCTGCGCTGAGGGAAGAAGACAGGAGCGCGGCGAAGAAAGAGAGAGGAAAGAATAGAATGGCGCTAGGGTTTCAAGGGTGCCGCTGCGGTCGCCGTTTTGATCATGCGACATGTGCGGACAGCCGTCGGATCGACGCGGACGGCTCAGATCGAGCGGGCCGTTTCGCGGCCCAGGTGGGCGCGCGCGGCCGCGGCACTTTGCCGGTCTAGGCTCACGTTGCGGCCTAGGTGCGGCCGAGCGCCGCGCAGAGGTGGTGGGGCGAGCCGAATTGCCGGCTTCGGGCCCAGTAGCAGTAAAGAGGGAGCCCAATTTTCCTTTTTTCTTTTTCAGTAAAATTGAAAAATGAAAAATGGCTCAAAAGAAATCAGGAAAACGAATTTTTTCTGTGGGTAAAATTCAAGAAAATGAGTTTATTTTTCCGTTGCGTATTTAAAGTTGTTATTTTCATTATTAAATTCGAACCAACGGGATAATTTAATTTTGAAAAATGGACATGTTTTTAGTTTATTATAATATTATTATTATTCTGACCAACGTTGATTAATGACAATATTATGATGTTTTGTCATGCATTAATTCTATTTTTGCCCAACAGTGATGTAGAATTAGTGTAGAGGATAATTGTATGTTTTAATTTTGACCAACGTTGGAACTAAGGCATGCAATTGTTATTATTATGTTCTCACTCTATATGAATTGTGTTTTCAGGCGGATATAACTTGATGGGTTGTATCAAAGAGATCCCCACTCTCAAAGGTGACAACTACATGGAGTGGAAGAAAAAGATTGACCTGGCCTTCATCTTGGCTGAAGTGGTCTGGGTAGTCACCTCACCGTGTCCCACTGAGCCTGTGGCACCGGTGAGGGAGACAAACGAGGCTGATGCCACTTGGGCAACCAGAGAGAGGGATTTTGTATCCCAAAAGATGCTCTATGACTTTGAGCATAGAAAATGGGTCACTGCCAACAAAAAATATATGGCTATGATAAAGAATACGATTGAGCCTGCAATTGTAGGCTCAATTCCAGAGTGTGACATCGTCACCGAGTACCTCGATAGAATAAAGAGTCAGTTCGCTGGCTCTTCAAAGACATATGCTACCCAGCTGATAAAGCAGCTGGTGACAGAGAGGTACTCTGGAAATGGTGGCATAAGAGAGCACATACTAAGGATGAATAATTTGGCATCCAAGTTAAAACCAATGGATCTGGCTCTCAAGAAAGAGTTCTTTATTCATCTGATTTTTGCTTCTTTGCCAAAGAAATTTGACACTTTTGTTGTCAATTACAACATACAACCCGAGAAATGAGATTTAAAGAGGCTCATGGCTATGTGTGTGCAAGAGGAGGAGAGAATGAAAGTTGCCAATGGTGGCACTATTAATTATGTGAAAGACAACAAGAAAAAGAATAATAATGCTAACTCCTCCTCAAAGCCAAAGGGAAATGGTCTCATGCTGCATCAGCCTCAGCAGAACAAGTTTACAGTAGAGAAAGATCAATGTTTCTATTGTAAGAAGACGGGACATTATAAGAAAGATTGTCCCGATTACTTAAAGATGATCATGGCAAAGAAATGTGAGAACATTATTACGTTCATAAATGAATCCCTATATGTACAGTATTCAAAATCTACCTGGTGGATTGACTCAGGTGCAACTGTTCATGTTGCTAATTCTTTACAGGGATTCCGTTCAACGAGGACTACGCAAAGAAGCGAAAGACACGTTAAAGTTGCAAATGGAGTCCGAGCAGATGTTGAAGCCGTTGACGATCTTTTTCTAGAGCTTGCTGATGGTTTCACACTTTTACTTAGAGATGTACTTTATGTTCCTGCTTTACAGAGAAACTTAGATTAGTGTTTCATGCTTGGACAATGATGAATATGATTGCCATTTTGGAAATAGCAAATGTAAGATAACATTTAATAATGCATGTGTTGGTCTTGCTATCTTACAAGATGAGCTTTATTTGTTATCACTATGTGATGATGTGAATGTTGTATGTGATGATGGGAACGTTGCGTGCGAAAATGAGAATGTATCCTCGTCTGCGGATGTAAACAGAAAAACGAAAGAGAGCTCACGATGCATTGTCGAAATTATAGCACTGTCGTTTAGGCCATATTTTGAGGGGAAAAATAGAAAGACTAGTTAAGAATGATATTCTTCCTCCATTAGAGCTCTCAGATTTAGAACAATGCAGAGAATGCATAAAAGAAAAGTATGTAAAGAAAATTAAGAAAGATGTCAAACAAAACGCATGAATTTTATAGATTATTCACACAGACATCCGTGGTCCGTTTCCTGTAAAGAGTGTGGATGGTTATGATTCGTTCATAACATTCATAGATGATTACTCCCGTTATGACTACATTTATTCAATCAAAGAAAGAACAGAAGCATTGGATAAATTTAAGATATTTAAGACAGAAGTTGAAAATCAACACAATTTAAAGCTCAAGATAGTCAGGTCCGACCGTGGGGGGGAGTACTATGGTCGGCATACCCCATATGGCTAAGTTCCTGGACCTTTTGCAAGGTTCTTACAAGAGAATGACATTGTAGCCCAGTATTCTACACCGGGCAAACCTCAGCAGAATGGAGTAGCTGAAAGACGCAATCGTACCCTGATGGATATAGTGCGCAGTTTAATAAGTTACTCCACCTTACCGTTGAGCCTATGGATGGAGGCGTTAAAAACCACCATTCATATTCTCAATAGAGTACCAAGTAAGTCGGTGTCCAAAACACCGTATGAGTTATGGACAGGAAGAGTACCCTCACTAAACCACTTACGTGTGTGGGGAGTCCTGCTGAGGCTAAAGTATTTAACCCCAACATTAGGAAGCTAAATCCCAAAATAGTAAGTTGTCATTTCATTGGCTACCCAGAAAAGTCAAAAGGTTTTCGTTTCTACTGTCCAAACAGACATACAAAATTTGTGAAAACAAGACACGCTGTCTTCCTAGAGGATGAAATGATGAGGGGGAGCATGCTAGCTCGAGAAATTAACCTTGAAGAGAAGTGGGTGTATGCGTCCACTCTAATGATTCATGAGCCATTTTTCTCACTACCTGCTGTCGCTGCACCAACAGTGCAAGATACTGTTGTGCCAGCACCTGTTGTTATTCCGCCTGTGGCAACAATGAATGACAATGAGAAACCTGTTCTTCAGGATCATATAGAACCTATTGCCACACATGAAGGGGAGCAACAACAGCCTTAAACAAAAGATGTGCCAAATGTGGAGGCCCCTAGAAGGTTTCAAAGAGTTAGAAAATCAGCTATTCCTACTGACTATAAAGTATACAACACTGAGGAATTTCAAATGGAGGATGATCCCACCTCATTTGAAGAAGCCATGAGAAGTGCTCATTCATCAAAGTGGCTTGAGGCCATGGAAGATGAAATGAAATCAATGAGTGCCAATAAAGTTTGGGACTTGAAAATAATTTCTAAAGGAGTTAAAACAGTAGGCTGTAAATAGGTCTACAAAACAAAACTTGACTCTCAAGGGAATATAGAGAGATATAAAGCGTGACTTGTGGCAAAAGGCTTTACGCAAAGAGAAGAGATTGATTACAATGAGACATTTTCTCCAGTCTCATGTAAGGATTCCTTCATAATCATAATAGCATTAGTGGCACATTATGATTTAGAATTACATCTGATGGATGTAAAGACGGTATTTCTCAACGGAGACTTAGAGGAAAATGTTTACATGGCACAACCGAAAGGTTTTGTCATGGAAGGAAAAGAACGAATGAGATGTCGTCTAAAGAAATCCATTTATAGATTAAAACAAGTTTCAAGACAGTGGTACTTGAAATTTGATCAGACAATAAAAAATTTTGGGTTTAAAGAGAATATTGAGGACAATTGTGTCTATGCAAAGTTTAAGAATGAGAAGTTTATCTTTCTTATCCTGTATGTGGACGACATCTTATTTGTTAGTAGTGATGTTAGTCTACTACTGGAGACAAAGAAATTTTTGTCCTCAAAATTTGATATGAAAGATCTTGGTGAAGCCTCGTTCGTTATAGGGATCGAGATTCACCGAGATATAAGTAAAGGGGTATTAGGACTGTCACAAAAGACATACATAGAATTTTTTTTAAAGAAATTCAGTATGCACAAATATAATCCCTCACCTACTCCTATAGTCAAGGGCGATTGATATGGGGATTATCAATACCCAGCAACTAATAAGCCCTTCCGCATTCATCATTATTATTTACCATCATTTGACTACGAGAAATCGACGTGCCGTTTTTGGATATCATTCCTCTCGACTCTCCTATTATTGGCGACAGGAAACAACTGGGAGCCGTCGACGTGGACAGACTCGTGCCTTCTTTCATCCCCTTCGTTTCTGGCTTCCAGCGCCACCAGTCCACTCGAAGGGCTCGATGAACATTATCGCACTACTAGCAGTCTTGCACGTAAACGCATTGGATTCTCATTTTGCCAATGATCGCTGCCACGATCTCGCGCTCACTCGACGGCTCTACTCCATCTGAAAAACTGCTGCAGTCTACCAGAGAAACACTGCTGCAGACAAATCAAACGAGATGAGGGGTCTGTGCTCCGCAAATAAAAAATATCTGAATCTGCTTTTTGACCGCCCCACAAATAAAAGAGACGAGGAACGAAATCGAGTCGTTGTAAAAGAGACAAGGACATTAAAATTTACAGGTTTGCAGCCACCGGCCGCCGCTACCAAGCACACGTTCTGCTTCCGCATGCAGGCCTCCAAAAATACTCCGGTACATTTCACATTTCGCTATCAGAATTCAGAATGACGGCAGATTCGACAATAACAACCGGTTATCTATCAGAAATACTCCGGTACAACCAAGCTAATAAATACGAAAAAAATCTCGACAAAGAAAAAATATTTCGAGTAGAACCTGCAACTGTCTACTAGTGTCTACTCCGTAGTGAAGTTCAACTGTGGACTTTCCGGGGAAATCAAATCAGCATGGTCTTTTACCTGAGATCTGAGATGGGATGCTGTAAATCAACTCATTGCATTTCCTGCTGAAGTAAAACCCATGTGAAAATCGAATGCCCATAGATCTGTAAAATTGGCCGGTTTTTACTGACGACCACTGACATCGCCGATAATGCATCATTCTGATGACTAGTCGCATTGCGCAAACAAAAAGGAATCGAATTCCTGACCCTTTCAGCCTTTCTCCCCGAAACGCCTAAACTCCAAGCAACAGCAAAATAACCACCGTTTCCTTGCAGCCCCGCGAATCTTCGGCCCCCTTCCCCACCCGACACGGCACACCACTCTCTGCCCCTTCCTTCACCTCCGCTCCTATTTGGCCTCCGAATCCCCGCTCGCGAACCCTAGCCGGCCTCCGCGACATGGACGAGGACTGGGAACTCCTCCTCGCGTCCCCCAAGACGGCGGCGGCGGCCGAGCCGTACGCCGGCGGCGGAGGCGGAGGCGGGGAGGACGACGCCGGCGCCATCAAGCACGACTACTTCGACCTCGGCTCCGACGCCAAGTACCCCCGGAGGGCGTCGCTGTCGAAGGAGGACGAGGACGAGGACGAGGACGAGGACGGTGTGGAGGAGGGGCTTCTCGGGGCGTCGGACGACGCGAGCTGGGTGGAGCCGGACCCTGACGACCTTCTCTTCCCCGGCCGCGACCGCGCCGCGCTCTGGTCGGACTCGTCCTCCGACGGGGAGAGGCTCGAGGTCGAGGCCACCGATCCAGTGGAGCGTGCCACGGAGGAGGCCGGGGTCACGGCGGCCGCCGCGGCTGATGCGGGCGAGGGGGCCGTGGCGAAGGGGGGAGGACCGGTCCCGTGGTGGAAGCTGCCGCTGGACACGCTGCGGGTGTGGGCGCTGCGCGCGGCGAGGAGCTTCTGGTCGGTGCCGTTCGCCGTCGCGCTGCTCGGATTCGCCGTGCTCGGGCGCCGGCTGTACCGGATGCGCCGCCAGAGCAAGGCCGTCGCGCGCGTCCGCCTCGTCCTCGATGAAAAGGTGACGCCTTTCCATCCTCTTCCCTGCAAGCGTCTTGCTTGTGACTTGTGGATTTCACCTTCTTCACACGCTGCTTCTTCCTGAGTCGCTTAGAAACCGATACGTACTGAGCTTAGCAGTTAGCAGTAACTAGTTTACTTGTGAGCTTAGATGCTCTTCGTATATATTTTTCTTTCACTGAATAAACGATGTGCTGCCTCACGGTAACTGACTGTCTTTGGAGATGCCCGTGTGCTGTTTATTCTGAAGCCCAATCACAGAAAAGAAACAAAATATAATCGATATAAGCTTGTATTCCTACTCCCACAATTTTGCATTTGTGGTTGCTTCAACTTATAGGACTTTGTTATAGAACGTGAACGGATTATGAATGGCAGAGCAGATGTAAAATATCAGAATATTCCTAGATCGACAATTCGACAAATCATTGGTTGGAATGTTGGGATTAGATGCTCGAATTGATCCTTATCCATGTTTCCTAGTTTTCTCATGCTTTATTGCTTACCTCTGTTTTCACTTTGCGATGCTTATTCTCTCTTAGACTCCTACTGACTGAAAGTTTTTTCCTGGGCTTATACGTCTCTGTAGAAGGTCTCCCAATTCAAGGGCCAATCATCACGTCTGAATGAATCCATGACGATGGTGCGGCGAACTCCTATCATAAAACCTATGCTTCCTGCCAATGGAGTGACTCCATGGCCTGTGCTGGGGCACCTGTGAGATGTGTGATCAGTGACGTGATAGAGCTAATAATACAACTGCACCAGCCATGCAGAGACGCTCTCACCTTGCTACAGGCCGGCATATTATGCAATGCCCAGCAGCAGATGTACTGGCTGCTTGTAATTTGGAACTACACACTTGTGGAAGACCTTGTAAGTTTCCGTTCACGCGGAATGATATTTAGGCCTGATCTAGTTTGTGTTTCTTTTGTGTATACCCATGTTTATATTTTTATTTTCTGAATCCATATACCATCGATCTTATATGCTGGAGATGTAAATGATTGAGTACCGAGTACCCATGGACCATGGTACTATGGTAGTGTGATGTATATGACTATTACCCATAAATCAATGCACAGGTGGAAGTTAGATTATGTGCTGGGCATCATTTCATCACCTTTGATCTAGTTTTTAGTCACTACATCGACATTTTCGCAGAAGTGCCTGGCTAAGGATTTCAGTGTATCTTTAGAAAAAGGTTTTGTCGAGTAACAGTACGTTTGGACTATCTGAAAAGTGAGGAAACACAAAGCGCAATGTGTCATGGCTATGATAGATTTATGTTGAAATGCCACCGGTTCCTACAAAACTGGGTTGATCATCCCATCGTTCAGCATTTGGATTCTCAGCAGTCAGCACTCAAAACAACTGTTCTACAGGTTCTCTCTTGAACACTAAAGCTGAAAACAAGGTTCCTGATTTCCATGTAATTAGTAAGAATCTACATGATGTATCAGTCTAGAAACATTCCTTGAATCCAACAAATCTGGCAGAAACTGGCTGCATTCGCTGGTCTGAAAAAATCAGACCAGCCGGCTGCTCCTCCTCACACGCTACAGTGCATATTTCAACGTTACATTATTTTTCACTCACAACAACCCGTCGCCGTTACAGTGTTTTTGGCTTCTTTTTTCAGACAAGCACGGGCCCCTTAGGATCTGAGAATGGGCCATGTCTTGCCGTCTAGTTTTCGAGCAATGGCATATAGCCAAACTCGAAGTCTGCATGGTAGGTCATCAATGCCATAGTACTATCTACGTGATGCTAGGAAAAATGTCGTGCTACATGAGTTATCAGGGGTAACTTAATTTTACAGCATGCAGTGGACTTAATTTTACAGCATGCTGCATGCATACGCATTCTATTGAGTGTTCGATGACCCATGACATCAAAGTGGTCGTGCCGGAGTGGTTATCGGGCATGACTAGAAATCATGTGGGCTTTGCCCGCGCAGGTTTGAGTCCTGACGACCACGTTTTTTAGTTAATATACTTTTCATTTTTTTTCCTTCTCTACTATACTTTTCATTTCCTCACACTGTTCATGTTTGATTGCTGCTGGCGCCGAGGCAGTTCGTGCATATTTTCTTATTTTCTTTTTCATTTTATTTTTTCTTCCCTACGGAGTACTATACTTTTCATTTCCTCAATGTTTGATTTCTGCTGGCACCGAGGGAGTTCATCCTTTGGGCTTTGTCTGTAGGCAGGACCGTCCCTGTGGCTATACGCTCTTGTGTACATCCCAATAATATAGTTTTTAGATAGTAGAAAAATATTTCGGCTGCATCCGTTTTCAAGAAGAGAAATCAATTCAAATTATTACATGCCGTGGCACACACCACCCAAACAAAGTCAAAGGTTATGAAAGAGTTCCATGTTAAAATTCAATTCTAAAAATAAACAACCATCCATGGAATGTTAAAAATAGCACTACCGCTGATTCCTAAGTGCATCAAGCTTGGATCAATAGCTTCTTTTGGTTATCACATCGATGCAATCGCCTAGAAATCGTTGCAATTGCGCCTAGAACCGAAGTCGAAGTATCCCCTGACCAAGACCTACAAAAATGTATTTATTTGTATGCACTTGTCCTGAGATAACCTCACTTCTTGTCAACCAAAGCACCCAACAAAATGTTGTCGCCCTTGTGAATAAATAGTGTTTATAATTTCTACCCACTTGATTAGACTATTGGTTGAACATGTTATTTAGGTCCTTTCCAGTACACCTTTTGTGGGGTCTTCTCTACTAGCTTAATTAAAAGCCCTACCAAACAAGTACAAATGAGAACAACCTTTAAAGTTAAAAACAAGTCAAAAATCATGAAGCTAAAACCGTTTTGGGGCGAGAAGTTGAAGCCACCAAAACGTGGGTTTTCCTGTCTTCTTTGTTTTTGGAGAAGCCTGGGCCCTGCCAAAATGGGCCTTGCATTCACTGGTGGTGAAATTGCAAAACGTAACATGCACAGGACGCCAGAGAAAATTTAGCAAATGGACTGTCCAAAATAGATGCTGGATTGATTTCTAAATTATTACATAAACCACAAACTCCCATGGCAATTTCTGCGAGCAAGATTTATAAGGATAACCCCCTTTTTGAAGAACCACATGAAAAACTTCATTTTAAGTGGTATATTCATCTGCCAAATCTCTTACGTATGTCTAACTCAAGAGTTGACAAAAAATATATACATCGATGTCATATAAAGAAATTGTTTCTATGTAAAAAAAAACAAATTTTATCATCCTTTTCTCCCTATAATAAATATGCCTTTTTTTAGGAGAATCAAAAACCTTTATTGAGCTTCATAAGAAGTACAAACGCCATTCGGCGGGGATACAAACCAAACATGCCTACCAAGTTCATTGTAGACACTACTTCTAGCTAAGACATGGGCATCAAAATTTGATTGCCTTCCTTCATGAACAAAATCAACGAAATTGAATTCACGTGATCTAGCTCTAATTTCCTGAACAATATGTCCATAAGAGCCCATGGTACCTTCCCGGATGCTCCTGATAACTTCTGCATTGTCACACGATAGACTAAAATCTCGGAGGACCAGATCCCTAGCAAGCGCTAGGCCCTTTTTGCAAGCAATTGCTTCCACCGTGTTAGGCTCCAAAAGGCCCTCCATCACCACGGCTGAGGCACCCAGGAACTTCCCCACAGCGTCTCTTGTGGCCGCTGATGCAGCGACGACTCCCGAATTTTTAGCCAAAGCAGCGTTAACATTGATCTTCATCAAGCCGATCGGTGGTGGGATCCACCGAACCGGGCTTCCATGTGCTTTAGGCCAAGCCCTCCCTTGAGGCTTCACGAGCTCAAGGTTTGCCACAAAATTAGAAACAAACTGGTGCGTCGAGAGCGGGCTTTGATAGATATTTTCATGAACAACTTTCCTCCTTGCATACCAAATTGCCCACAAGGTAACAGTCACCCGGACCAGTTCCTCATGTCGCAAGGACTTCATCATCACTACCAGCCAACCCTTCGCATCTTGTTCCTCAATTTGAGAAAGGTGCTCAGTAATCTCCTCTTTCTCCAAAGCCCAAACACAACGTGCCATGTTGCACTCAAGTAACGAGTGTCTCCATAAGTCCTCCGCTCCACATATCTGGCAAGCGCTATTCTCTGCCATGTTCCTGTGATGGAGTATATCCTTTGAAGGGAGAGAACATCTTGCGAGCCTCCATAGGAACACACGCACTTTAGATGGTACCCTGATCCCCCACAAAGTAGACCACTCCTTCTCAGTTGCTTGTCTGTCCGAGGCGCCTACATTCCCTGCTAGGAACTTGCACTTTATAAGCATTCTATATGCTGATCGGATAGAGAAAAAACCACGTTTCTCGAAATGCCATGCCCAGAAATCCTCTTGACGCCGTGTACTTAGAGGAATACTTGTGATTGCTTCCACATCAGCGGCGTAAAAAATTCCAGCAGCTTCCCTCGGTCCCAGCTTGTTGTTATTTGATCAATAAGTTCGCTAGCCCATTGAAGGGGGTTCGGCCGAGTGCAAGGCACCAGCCTCCTCAAACCCGACGTCGGCAGCTAGTCCATCGACCAAATATTGGTTGATTCACCTGTACCAATCCGCCTTATAAGGCCGCCCTTGAGTACCTCCCTGCCTTCCATAATGGACCGCCAAATCTTTGAAGGAGACTGGCCGATCACTACATCTAGGAATCTAGTGTCCGGGAAGTAAACGGCTTTTAGAACCCGTGTACTCAAGGAATTTTCATCCTGTAGCAATCGCCATGCTTGTTTCGCTAAGAGTGCCAGGTTAAACATCTCCATATCCCGAAAGCCAAGACCGCCAAAGTATTTTGGCTTTGTCATGTCTTCCCACGCCACCCAACAGGTCTTCCTCTTTCCATTTCTGGAACCCCACCAAAATTTACGTAGTAAACCATCTAAATGTTGGCACAAACCACGAGGCAGCTTGAAGCAAGACATAGAGAAGGTTGGAATAGCTTGCGCTACCGATTTGATAAGAACCTCCTTTCCACCGGTTAACAAACACCGCTCCATCCATCCTTGAACCCTACTCCAGACCCGATCTTTAAGAAATTTGAAA